ATTTGAAGTTCTAATCTAGTCTGTTAATTTAACTGAAGTTGGATTTTTCGAACATAATAAAAAGTCAAATGTACTTCACTTGGATGCTTGCTTGCTTTCCTTTTTGAAACAGGTGAACGAATCATAAGGGATAACCTGATATTACTGGCAGGTACATGAAGAGATGGCTGATAACTTTGCACAGTTAAGTAAACCAGGTGTCAGCAAACATTCTGTAAAGAGCAGAGAGTAGCTGTCTTAGGCTTTGCGGGCCATATGATCTCTGTTGCAACTACTCAGTTCTACCACGGTAGCGTAAAGGCAGCCGCCATGGGAGGTGATGCATAAACTAACGAGTGTGGCTGGGTACAACATAACACTCTTTACAAGAACAGACAGGGAAATGAAGAATTTAAAATTTAAGGTTTGATTTCCCTCCAACTTTATAATTTGAAAAAATTCAAATGTACAAAAAAGTTGAAAGACTGTACAATGAATAGGATTTGTCTTTTTTAAACATGATTTTGTGTTACTATTTTTTTAATATATGCAAGTTCCAATGCTGCCCTCAAAGCCCACTGCCTCTAGTGCCTAATAACGCATTGCCTTTGCCTGACCCTTAACTGCTTTTTCAATGCAGTTTTGCATAAGTTCTCAAAACTATCCAGTCGAGCTGGCAGGGTCCAGAGCTGCATTTTATTGATAAGAAACTAGGGCGGCTAAAAGGTCTCATTTTTAGCCTAGAAGTAGTCTTGACTATTGTGAGTGTAAAATGGAGATGTCACCTCTCCAGCCTCAGGAGCAGAAATTACATGTAGAAATTACGTTGAAAATTAGTTTCTATACAAGTATACCCACCCACTGCCGTCGAGTCGGATCCAACTCAGAGACGACTCCATGGGTTTCTGAGGCAGTATCACTACGGAAGTAGGAATGCCCAGCCTTCCTTCTGAGGAGTGGCTGGTGGGTTTGAACCGCCTGCCTTCTGGTTAGCGGTCCAGTGCCTTAGGCACTATGCCACCACAGCTCCTATACAAATATAAGGAATTACTTTTATTGTGTTAGGTCAGAATCAGTGGTCAGTTCTCCAGATCTATTTGTACTTCTTCATCTCCATTAACTAGCTATTTAAGTCGTTGCCAGCTTCTTTGGTTCTATTCTCCCCTCTATTTTTAGCTGCCTCATTTGACACTTAAGTTTGATAATTCTTGTTAGTCGAATAGTTTTATATTGGTACAAATTTGGGTTACTTCAGATATCTTTAATGAACGCTCTTTATCTGGTTGGAAAATCAAGAGCATCAGGGAATCTATTAAGCAGCCAGCTTCTTGGCTTCACAGTGAGAACTGTTTTATTAAATAGTTGAGCTAGAATTTAACATTAGAAAAGAGAAGAAATATACCTACACTGGGACATATGGAGCTAATGTAGTTGATGCATGTATTTAAAATTATTTTCATTTTTTGAAGTTTGCATGCTTAAGGTGACAGGAGTTTCCGTTTTTAAGCATGGGGGAAATGGTGGTAGGGAGAAGTCATTTTAACTGGCAAGTGCCAAAGCTATTCTTAGTGGCTCATCAAGTCTTTAAGATATGGGACTTGACTTTGAAGACTGAAGGGATGAGAGGGTCTGGAGAATGAGGCATGAGAGGTGGTTCCAAGTTGGAGTTTGTCAGAGAGGACTAGTCCAGATTTTAGACCAAGGTAGAGCAGATACATAGTTAGGTGTCTTAAATACGGTAGCTGCTAAAGTAGATGTTAGCATGGGGATGTGGGTTTATCAAGGTGTCCTAGCTGGGAGCATGGAAGTGTGAAGCAGTTGAGACCTCAGTAGAGTGCTGTGAGGAACTGAAGGCTTGCAAGGTGGAAGGGAGACCTGAAGGCAGGAGGAGGGCCTGGTGTGTCACCCTGAGGAGCGTGGACAAAGATTTTGAAAGGCCACAAAGGTTTTAAGCGGTTGCTAAAATTTGTAACTATTGAATATTTTTTACTACCTTCTCCCAAGAGTACCTTCTCAGTGGTCCACAATGTAAACTAAGGAATGAGCCAGCAGATGGGTGTGTCCACTGTGTTCTGGAGGTTTTGCCTTGTCGGAGAGGAGGAGGATGGATAGTGTCTGAAAAGGCAGAATGAGGAGAAAGCTGCCTAGGTGGAGTAGCCAAGGAGGATAAACCTTGGTAGACCTGAATTTCAGAGTTGCTACAGGACAGCGTGGTCACTCTTGGTGTATGGGTGTTCGTGCAGTGAGTTGGGTGAGGCATAGACATCTGACTAAGGAGGAGGAGAACCCTGCATCCACTTGCAGGTTTTCCCCGGGACCACGAGACTAGGGAGAGAACTGCAAATAGGAATTACACGAAGTCACGAAGTTAAACAGCCTTGGGTCATAAAGCCTTTTCTGTATTTTCCACTAAATTATTTTCCCATAGGATTTAAATTGTTAAAATGTACTTTTAAAATTATTTGAACCGAGATTAGAGTTTAACATAAAATTGATGAGTAAAATCAGGAACTATGGGATGAGTGGAAAATTATATCACTGTCTCTTTTAATTGTTCCTATCTTACCTTTCTATTCCTATGAGTCAAATGTTTTGTTTTTGTACTTTGGTAGCCAAAGTAACATCTAAACAGGGCTTCTGACATAAAACTGCAGCTTGCTTATCCAGGAGCACTGTTCTTAAAAATATTTGGACGAAGAGTATTGGTAAGAAGACTCGGCAGCTAGTCACTAGGCAGGAATTAGAGGCAGTAAAAAGCTCACAACCTCTGTGCTTGTACAAGCAGTTGCCTCTGATGCCTGTTTTCCAGAGGAATTCCCTGCTGATGAGGAAGCCAGTTGGCTGTTTGCCTAGTGCCATCTGGAGACCTGGAAGTGTCACAGAAGTTTGTCAGGACTTTGAGATGTTGGCTTTGTGGCCTTGTCTACTGACAGGTGGTGACCTCACTGGGGTGAATGCAGAGATCTGTGGCGTTGGGTTTGACTCCCTCCAGCATTCAGGCAGAAGCGTTCAGCCCCCTCGCACATCTATCGCCTATTTCCTGGCCACTTGGCCTTCTCTGCCATTTGGTATGAACCATTCCCCCAAAATTCCTTCTTACCTGTCAGTTCCTACCCAGATCTTGCCCAATCTGGCTCCATCCTGTCTGTGCCCATTTGACAAAAACTCAGACAGAAGCAGGGTCAACTCCTGGCATTTGTTTCTAGGAGCCAAGATGAAATACCCATAGCATCCTTCCAGTGGTTAACTTTTAAACCTTCATAGGAGTTAATAGGAGCTCTGGTGGCATAGTGCCTAAGGCATTTGACTGCTAACTAGAAGGCTGGCGGTTCAAATCCACCAGCCACTCCTCAGGAGGAAGGTTGGGCAATCTACTTTGGTAATAATACCGCCTCAGAAACCCAAGGACGAGGTCGCTATGATCTGATTCGATGGCAGTGCATGGGAGTGCTGGTGGTGTAATGCCTGAGGCATTTGACTGCTAACCAAAAGGCTGAGGGTTCAAATCCATCAGCCACTCCTCGGAAGGAAGACTGGGCAATCTACTACTGTAGAGATATGGCCTTGGGAATCCAAGGAGGGGTCGCTACTCACTCTAGGACAGTGAGTTTGGTTTTTTTGTTTTTGTTTATCCTAGTTAATAGATGAGAAGCCATGATCGTTACACAAGAGCTGGGTATGAAGCTCTGATCTCAGGTCCCTGTAGACTGTTGTCGTTAGTGGTGAAGCCATGTAGAAACTCAAACGTTTAGACCATTTTTCTGTTGGCAGTTTAAATGATAGATGATGCTACTGGGTGTGATGCTGAAAGTCTCGATACACATTGGTATGTTTTATTTATTCTTCATTGTGGCAACTTTGCTAGCGTAAATACTATGTTAATACTAAAAGGCTAAATCAAAATGGTTCAGTTCTGACCATTTTTATATTTAAAGTACAACATAGGAGTGGGTTTCAAATACATTATTTTCCTGAATTATTTGAGAGCTTGTCTTTTTTGGGGGGACAGTTGCTTTTAATGGAAAAAAAAAAACTAGACTTTATATAGTGGTCATTTTTATTCCATCAAGTTACTGGTGAGTATCTTAATAAGACATCTCCATATTTTAACACCAATGGCACGTTCGTTGGTCAATCTTTGTGTCTGTATGAAGCATCTTAAACTGTTTTAGTAAAGGATAGGGTCGCTTGGAGGAGGAATCGGAATTTTAAATAATTTTCCTTACGCATCACCAGCCACTAGGCTAGGTGGGTGCTGCAGCAGGCGCCCTTCACGGCTGGAGGAGCCGTGAGCTGGAACACGAAGCGCCCGATGAAAAGAGCCGAGAGTCGTGATCCCGCGTTTTTCTGCGCTGAAAGGGACGTGAGGGACGGTTCACTTCGTGCCAGCAGAGTGGCGGTGGTCCGAAAGCCCATAACGAGTGGGTTGCGAGGCGGACCGCTCACTTAGGGCTCCCGGTGCTGCGCTCCGAGCTCTGACCGCTGCTGTCTGCTTTCGTCCACGTGTGTGCCTCTGGGAGTTGTAAAGTGAGTTATGAGAATAAAACACGTGGGCGAGCCGGTGCCCGAGCTGCAGGAGGAGCGTTGTCGGGAGCTGGAGGCGCGCGTGGCAGCCGGAGAAGGGTGCCCCCGGCTCGGTGGGAGCGCCCAGGGCCCCGGGCCCTTGCCTTCAGCATCTTCACCTCGCTCCCCTTCCTCCGAAGTTGCGGAGGTGCCGGGAAGAGGAGGGGCCTCGCCTCGGGCGCCCGAGTGATTGGCTGCCTGGGGCCCCTGGCGAGGGCTGTGTGGTCCAGCCCGGGCGGAGAGGGGCGGAGCGGCCGCTGCTCCCACCACCACCGCCACCGCCACAGTCACGGCAGCCGCAGCCTCGGCCGCCGGGCAAGTAGCTCCCAGCCGCGGCTTCCCCGGCGGCCCGACTCGGGCAGGGGGCGTCGCGCTCTGCTCGCCTGCGCCCGACCCTGTGCACGTCCCTCGCGGAGCCGAGCTCTCGGTGCGCACCGCCGCCTCCGATCCGCCGGCCCCTCGCGACCATGCCCCGGGCGACTGCGCTCGGCGCCCTGGGGCCACTGCTGCTGCTGCCGCTGCTGCTGCCGCTGCCCCGCGGCGCCAGGGGGCTCGGGGAGCTCTCGGACGCCGCCTCCGACCACTGGGCGCTGGAGCGCGAGGAGGGCGCGGAGAGGCAGCTGCAGCATTACCACGACCCGTGCAAAGCCGGTAGGTGCCGCGGCCGCCGGGGAAGTCCGGCAGAAGTTTGCCTTTGAAATGCAAATGAAATGGTGGGCAAGTCTGCGCTGCCGTCGGTGGGGCGGGTCCCCGGGGCTGCCCGGGAAAACAATGCTCAGCGGACCTGCTTACATCGCACTCTGAGGCTGCGCCCGCCTGGCCCCGGTGTGCGGCGCGCTCGGGGGTGGTGCCGGGGGCGTGTTCCGCCGACGAGGTACGGGCGCTCGGGGCTGGGGCCGGCCCGCCGTCTGACAGCCAGGTGTCAGTCCGGAGCCACGGCCGGACGCTCGGGACTGGAGTAAGAGTCGGGCTGGGCGCGGCGTTCCCAGGCTCAGATGGAGTTGCTGGCTCCAATTTCATGTCATTTGTAAGTTTTGCGCAAAGTTTCCCAAGATCTTGTGGTTACTCTTGGGAAGAGAACTGAAAAAGAAAAGCTTCACAGCAGGCAAAGAGAAAGGTTGCGGGACGTGTGTGTGTGTGTGTGTGTGTGTGTGTGTGAGACTCACGTGGCTGTAAACTTCCCTGTCGTCCTGGCCTGGGGGTTGTCCTGGGCGAGCGGAGAAGGAAGCCGCCAGGTGCTGTAATCCCACCAGGAAGCGGCGACCCAGGACGCGCGGATATTTCTGGCGCAAATCGCCGCCTGAGCGCTGCAGCTCCGGCTTCCCAGGAGCCACCAAGAAACTTGTGTGTCCCGAGGGAAGCAGATTCCGAGCTGGGATCCTTGAGACGTCAGCCCGGAAAAGCCCAAGCACATGTTCCAGAAAGAGCCCATGGATCTGAGGTAGTTCCCAGCTGAAACAGAGGGGTACTCATGCCCCCGGGGAGAAGATGGTCCCACAAAGCCGGCCAAGCCGCTCCTGGCCCGTGGCCCGGGCCCCGCGGGTAGTCATGTTTGTCTCTGAGCTTTGTCCGTCCCAGTTTCACTAGGCTACCCACAGACATAAGCACAAAGAGGGAAGAGTGCAGCCTCCACCCGCATACGTGCTGTGACAGGCCAGGTGTGAATGCCAGGGGCCAGTGGTCCCAGTCCTCAATCCCTGGAGCCAGCTACCAGCCTCAGTCTCCTCATCTCTAAATGAAACTCCACTGCCATCCAGCCAATTCTGACTCCTCGTGACCCTATAGAACTGCCCCATAGGGTTTCCAAGGCTGTAAATCTTTCGGGCAGCAGACTGCTACATCATTCTCCTGCAGAACAGCTGGTGGATTCAAACCACCGAGCTTTCAGTTAGCTGCCAAACATTTAACCAGTGTTCCACCAGGGCTCCTTATCTCTAAGATGAGCATAGTAATTATAGGAGGGCTCAGATCGTTGATGGGAAAATTCTCCACACATGGAATGATGACATTCTCCTTGTAATTATTTTTTATTGCTACTGCAGTGACTCTGGTTTAGGCTGGGGGCTGGCTGGGTCAAAACATGGAAGACCAGGTTACTGGGAGGCTGGAGGCCTTTGGAAGCTTTGTGAGACCTGAGAATTCTGTGAAGGCTGCACATCAGACCAGGCACGAGGGCTTACCATAAGGGAATATTCCCCCAGGATATCTACCTGTTGCTGTACCTTGTGGAGCTTCTGACTTAGGACAATGGGCAGAAGAGTTGGTACCTGGGTAATTTGAGAGTAGATCAGCACGTATCCCAGCTCCTCAGAGACCTAATTCATGATCTATGAGAAGGGCCTCCCCGAGCCCTGTTGGAATAGTGTCAATGCCCTGGAAAGAGGGGAACTGCAGCTAAAGTGGTGCTTCAGCCATCACCCTGCTCCTGTCAGATCCTGGGCTCTGCTGGGTGCAAGCTGGGGCTCTAGGAGGCCATGTGGCAGCTGAGGCCTGGTATCAGAAGTTCAGTTTGTTTAGGGAGGCACTGGGCATCTCTAACATGCTGTGAATCCAAAGGTGAGTGAGGTATGATTCTGCCTGCGACAGTTCCCTGTTCCCTGCCTCAGCCTGAGGCAGGCTTGCCTGTCAGGCCTCCTTTTCTCTGGTGCTTTTGGGATGAGAGGCCTTGATTGCAGCCACCTGGATAACTGGGGCATGCCTGTTCTATGCATGGAATAGGATTGGCAGGCAAGGATCTCAGAGTGTGGTTTCCGTGCATCCCCCACAGCCACCCTTGGATCCTCCCAACCCACTGGTCTCTCTCCCTGGGCTGCACTGATGCTAAGAAGTGACCAGAGGAAGGCAATGGCAGGGGAGACCTGGGAGCAAGGTAACTCTCAGTCTGCGTATCCCCCTGGAAATTCCCAGACTGAGGGCACAGACTTCTGGGAGGCCAACCTGCTGTTCACCAGTGCACTGTTGTTGTTGTTGTTGTTATGTGCCGTCGAGTCAAACCCAACTCATAGCCACCCCTCCTTGGGTTTCCGAGGCAGTATCACTACGGAAGTAGGATTGCCCAACCTTCCTTCCGAGGAGTGGCTGGTGGGTTTGAACCGCCAGCCGTCTGATTAGCAGGCAAGTGTCTTAGCCACTATGCTACCAGAGCTCAGTGAAAGGCTGGGAAACACTGCTTGTCCTGGTTGTATATTTAAACCAAACCTCTAGGGGCAGCCTCTCATCTTATCCCAGGGAAATTCTAACTCCCTAACTTTTTATCCAGAGGTCCTCCTCCTAGCACCAGCCCCAAGGCTTTCAATCTTAACACCTCCCATTGCTCCTTCTTGAGTGTGGGTCTCCATTCTGCTGAAGATCCAGAATGCAGAGAAGAGAGCTCTGAATCTAGGTCTGGCCTCGCAGCTTCTCAGTAGCTGTGTTACCTTGGAAACTCCCCTCCTCTCTGGGCCTCAGGTTCCTTATCTATAGGATGAAGACGTTAGAGTTGGGGTTGCAAACTGATAGACCCAGGAACCTCTTGCTCCGTGGAAGCCATCTTGCCTGGCGTCCACTTCACATCCTTGTGTATCTTTCCCTGGACCCACTTCACACCCGTCTGTACCTGTTTTGTCTTACAGGAAGTCGGGTTTGTGCCCTCTGGCTCTTTTCTGCTCAATGGTCTATAGTTCTATGACCTTTGGTTCTAATCCAGCCTCTCAGGGCTCTGTTATTGACCAAGCGTTTGACCTTGGGCAAGTCACTTAATTTATCTGTCCTTAGTCTCCTCATATGCTTTTGAGTTGTGGTGCTGGTGGAGAATGCTGAAAGTACCGTGGACTGCAAAAAGAACTAACAGATCTGTCCTGGAGGAAGTGCAGCCAGAATGCTCCTTGGAAGCAAGAATGGCCAGACTTTGTCTCACCTATTTTGGTCATGTTGTAAGAAGGGACCATTCCCTGGAGAAGGATGTCATGCTTGGTAGAGTGGAGGGTCGACGAAAGAGGGGGAGGCCTTAACGAGATGGATTGACATGGTGGCTGCGATGATGGGCTCAAGTATAGCAGGGATTGTGGGGCTGGCATGGGATCGGGCAGTGTTTCGTTCTGCTGTGCATGGGGTCGCTATGAGTCGGAAACGACTCGACGGCACTTAACAACAACAACAAGTCTCCTAATTTGTGGATAGGAATGTCCCTAATAGATTTAAGCGCTTAGTAGAACAGTGGCTGACTTAAAGTTAGGTATTTTATAAACAGATTTTCTTGAAACTTGTTAAAAGAACATGTTCATAATAACCTTTGAAGCAGGTTTTGATCTGTAAGATTTTAATTTACTAACAGACATTTTGTTTGATGCTGTAACATGGGTGACTTTTTAATCAGATGGTTGCAGCGTGGGAGTGAATCTGTGAAGCCCTCGTGACTTGGGCTAGTAATGTGCATGGGCTTCCTAAGCATGGTCTCTGTGTGGCAGTCTAGAACTCTGCCATTTTGTTTTTCATCTGATAGTGTAAATGCATCCATGAGTTTCATAGACAGTAAATAACAAGACATCATCCCACCCACCATGCTTCTGAGAGCAAACCTTGCAAAGCCTCAGAGGGCTTCTCTCCTCCCTGCCCTCCTCCACATTTCTTTAACTGAATTCACAGCCTGAGTCTAGGTCGTCTTGAGCAAGTTCTTCACCTCTTCATGCCTCAGTCTCCTCATCTGCAAAATGGGAATGGGAACAAGCATGCTCACCTTGTAGGGTGGTTATGAGGGTGTTTCAGTTCAATTCTCATAAAATCAAAGCCTTAGACAAGGACTTATATGTAGATAGTTTATTTGGGAGATGTTCCCGGGAAATAGGGGTGAGGGATCAGGGACAGTGAGACAAGGAAGTAGGACATTCAACAAAAGTAGAGGTGACTGCTTTAGGCAGTGGGGTCTTGACCCCTGCTAGGATCTAAGAAGCTTATAGAATGCCCCCCAGAATTATCTGCCCAAAGAATGGGAGGCTGGAGCATTTATCCCAGGGCTGCTGTCCTTTGTGGTTTGCTCCCTGTTCCAGTTCCTATAGCTGTGTAAGAAGCAACCCCACCCCAGTGGTGCAGTGGTGGTGGTTGTTAGTTGCCATTGAATCTATTTCAATTTTTGGGGACCCCATATGTGCAGATAGAACTGTGCTCCATAGGGTTTTCAAGGCCGTGAGCTTTTGGAAGAGGATCACCTGACTTGTGTTCTGAGATGCCTCTGGGTCAGTTGAAACCACCAACCTTTCAGCTAGTTGTTGTTGTGTGTTGTAAGTGACACCGTGACAGAGTAGAATTGCCCCATAAAATTGCCTAGGAAGGAATCTTTATGGAGAAGACGACCAGGCCTTTTCTTCTGCAGTGTCTGGTGGGTTCAAACTGTTGACCTTTCAGTTAGGAGCTGAGTGCTTAACCATTGTGCCCCCAGGCCTCCTTTCATCTACTAGTCAAACACATAACTGTTTGTGCCACCCAGAGACTTCCTTAACCCAGTGATGTAGAGCAACAACTATTTCATTATGTTCATGATTCTGTGGATCAGGAATTTGGGACCGGCACAGCAGGGGTTGGCTTGTCTCTGCTCCGCAGTGTTGGAGGCCTTAGCTGAGAAGACTTACAGGCTGGGAGTGGTTGACATTTCCAGGCTAGAATCATCTGAAGGTTTG